TAAGAAAAAAAAAACAAAAAAAAAAAAAAACCTACGTCTTGAATCGATTGTATATACGCTTATATACAATCAAAAAAAAACAACAGAAAACTTCATGCAGAGTCGTCAATAAATATTCTCTATAGGAAACATGAATAAGATTGGTCTAATGAAGATGATAATCCGGGCGTCAAAGTGTTTAGCAGACACACATCGATCGAAAGCGAACGAGCGTGTATCCAAATGATGGTAATTTTAGGATGTACATGTGAGTGTTGTTGTTTCTCCCACACACGCACATCTGACATGCGTTAGACTCCATATGTAATTGTCATCACTAAATTTGTATGTCCACTCAATATCTATGAACTTACCAGTATTAGTCATATTAACCATAGATTTCGTTGATGTTGGTAATGTCATCGGTCTTGATAAAAGATCATCATCAAGTAAATCAGACAACATTTTTTTTTTGTTTTTTTATCTAAAATAGACAATAATAATAAAATTAAAATAAGAAAAAAAGTACATTCTCACTCTAATTCAATTAGATTGGATACTACAATGATCAACGAACACATCTGGAGGCATTCCTCATTTTCTCACTCTCTATTCTATTTTTTTTCCCTCTCTTTATTAGTCAAGAGGTATGAAGTATGCAAAGCTAAGCGAATGAGTCTCTGCTAAATGAGTTGAGTGAGAAACGAGATAAAAGCGGAAAGTTGAGGAGATGATGGATGCAGGACGCCGTCGTCATCGTCTCACAGCTCGTCGATTATTGATACTACTGCCTGACAACAGTACGAGAAAAAATATGTCGATAACAATAAAATGACGAATGATAGCACGTTAGCTTATTGTATACACATTTGGATTTGAGATTAAAATCGATCGATTGATGATGATGATGATGATTCAACAGGCAAGCAACATCCAAATAGTAGAGAGAGGGGGAGAGAGAACATATAATAACACGGAGAATAATAATACAACCCGAAGAGAAGAAGACGAAGAGGAGAGAGAGAGAAAGAGATTGTATGTGCAGTAAAAGGAAAACATGATGGCATTTATGCCCTGTGAGAATGATGTACACATAAAACACTTGCTTGTATGTCTTAATATTTTTTAATGTTAAAAAAATTTTAGTAATTGAAAGATTATATTAAAAAACAAAAAAAAAAAAGAAAAATTGCTTTATTTTTTTTTTGAGGGTGTCAATGCATTGTGCACATTAAATAAAGAGACGTAACTTAACATTACCTGTCAAAGGATTATTCGTATTGGATGAATATGCACACAAATGTTTGAGTGTAAATAGACGACAGGTGTTATATGACGATAATATTACGAATGTGAGTTTCAACACTCAACGTTGTCGATAATCGAATAATTTCAAATATATATATATATATATATATATGTTTATATGTGTCACTCCCCATCATTTCATAGAAGAAATTGTTTTTTTAATATTAACACAACAATAACGGGCGACGTCCATTATGGTAATGCATTCTCTTTTTTCTGTCTCTCTGGAGCGCGCATGTCAACTGTGAAATATGAAACGTCGCCCAACGTAAACTCTCCGGATGGTCTATATTGTGTGTTTGTCGGTCTTCAATAATTGTCGGTCAGGGAATTATGGTTGAATATGAAATAGTCTTTGCTTGTCTATATTCTGACTTTTCTATATGTCTTTGGCTATACACATTTTCTCAAGAGACCCACGTACGCAAATCTGTTAATTGATGCGCGATTACATTTAGAAGGGACACAAAGAGAGAGAGACCTTATTGAATGAAACTCTTTTCGTTTTCTCTATCTTCTTTTCTTTTTACTGGTTATATGCACGCGTGCGCATCTATTTATTTGTGTGTGCAAGCACAATCTAAGGTCTCTTTGTTCGATTATAATTAGTGGTGTTCGTCGAACATAATCCTGGGGTCCAACCCTAAAAAATATGTCTTTTTTTTTCTTCTTTCTCATTTTTCTCTTTTGGATGGTTTTAGCATAATCAAATAACCATCATCGACATCACAAGCTAGAACAGCAATGACGATAGTAGCATACTCAATAATGCTTGTCTTGTCAGAAATCGATTGATGTCGTCGTCAAGATTAGATCGTAGTCGGCCTGTTGTTGACGACTAGCTATGCTACAGAAAATTACCATTTAGATAAAAGAGAGAAAAAAGAAACGAACGAGTATTTGGTTCGTTGAACGATGAACAATCGGAACATGATGCATCAACGACTAGTAATTATTGAGTGTTGTTCTGAACTACTACAAACTTCCGTTCAAATGACAATAAGACGAGCAAATTTTTTTTTTGATTTCATTGGAATAAGATTTCTTTCATTCATTCATTCATTCATTCATTCATTCATTCATTCATTTTATTTTATTTCGTGCTTGTATGAATCAAATTACTAATCACAAATCTTTCTCGCTTCTTTAGTTCATCTTATTGTTCGAATGAACAAGCAATTCTACTCTCAATGATCATGTCCTCTCGACAAACATTACAACGTGTTATATTATGTGCGCAAAAGAGCAAACACAATTTAACTAGTCAGTCTGACACATGAAATTTGATGAAATAATCATTCATTTATCTTTCCAATTTGTTTTTTGTTTTTTTGTTAATCATGAATAAAATTAGATTTTTATTTTTAAAATAATATCTCGAACAATAATTAATAATGAAATTCTATTCAAATAAAAAATATGAATAATAACAACAGAAATCATTGAAGCTTATGATGATGTTTAAAAATTAATTTAATAGAATTATTAGACTATTAATAAATAATGAATTAATTTTTGTTTTAAGAAATTATTCGATTAAAAAAATATAAAACAAATAGTTGAAATTATAAAATAAAAAAAAAAAGAAAATAATCGAATAATATGATATGAATCTATTGAGAACAAAACAAAACAAAAAATATTCTTTCTTTTTTTTTTTTTTGCTAAAATTATGAATACAAATTGTAATTTTCTTTTTTTTTTCACAACATATAGTGTCACTTTGTGCAAATAATAAAAAGTTTGCTATTTTAAATCTATGAGTAAGAGAAAATATCACAATTTTCTCTTCAAATTTTTTTTTTAACTTTTAATTTTGACTAGATGTATCCGTTGTTTGATATTCATTATTCATATATTGTTCATATGTTATATGTATTGCTCTATCCATTAATAAAATGGCTACTATGGTAAAAAATACATCTATAGGACGTATATGTAATCGATTAAGTCTTGTTTGAGATGATATTGTTAAATTTTGAAATGGTATTTCAACAACAAGTAATTGTTGTTGAGGATAAAATTGTGCATGAGCTTTTCGTACATCAGCATTTTGTGGAATAATAAATGTACGTTTAAATTCTTTAGCAACAAAATCAGGTTCTGTATCATCATTTCCATTTACATATGAATTTGTTGTTAATGGTTGAGATGGTTGAATTGGTGCTCGAACAACATGTTTACCACGAACAATGAGTCGACCATGTCGAATTGAAACATTTAATTCATTTGGTTGAAAACCATCAACATTCATACGTAAACGAAATGTTCCTTGTTCATCATTATGAATTGGCGGTGGTGGTGGTGGAGGAGGAGGTATTTGTCTATCGACATTAACAAAATGTGACAGAGCTGTCATAGGAATAGACATCGTTCTTGATGAAATTGTTGTTGGTGAAGGTAAATAATCATCTTCAATATAATCATCATCATCATCATCGCCATCATAATCATCACCTTGGATAGGAGTTTGATTAGCTATAACCAACATAGGAAATACTGTGGGTGGTGGTGGTGGTGAATACAAAAAAGGCATCATCTTAAACTTGCCTTAATCACATACGTATAATGTAATCGATAAAATATCTAAGGACGTTAGTTACTCCTATATATTTCAATGAGAATAAATCATTTACCTATGATCGAAAACGAAAGAACAAAAAAAAAATGACGATACAAATACATTTATACACGACTGTAAAAAAAAGAGAATGTCATAGGAAAAAAAAATCATATACACTGTTACGTATAATAATATTGCATCGTTTAGGTTAGTAATACAACGCAAGCAAAGAAGCAAAAGAAAAAAATAGATATCATCAATATACAAGAAAGAAAAAAAAAAGACTATATCATCACCTTGTTCTCGCTATACGCTTTTATATGTATCTATATACGTATGTTGATCATGTGGCTAGAAATTATTATCGGGAAACAGAATAAATGAGACATCTCATTAGTTAATGAGTTGTATTACTGATGACAATAGCTTATTTTTTACTAGATATCAAGGTTAATAAGGAGAAAATACGATAAACAACAGTTAGACAAGGACGTGTTAATATATTGAAAAAAAAATGTCTTTCACAACAATAACAGAACAAAACATTGTTGATTATCCATATATAGATTAAGAACTGAAATTCTTTTGACTCAATTTCTTTATTATGTACTTCTTTATCTCGATCAAAATGAGAGTAAATTACAATTCTATAACAAATGATAGAACAGAAATGAAAAACAAAAACATCAAAGAAGAGTCATACGACTCTAAGAATGTCATTATCAAAAGAACTAATGCTATTTCAAGACAATTTAATGACCTTTATATATTGATTACAAACAAAAGAAATCGATTTTCAAAAGAGAAACTAATTTACTAATTCTAATCGAATCCAATTATCTAAAAAGATTAAGATCTACAAATTTCTAAAGTTATTGAAAGACTCTCGAAATTATAAAAATTCATTATCAATAAGATCAAAAATTATGAATTAATCGTACGTTTCGTTCTCTCAATAATTGATTATTAATTAGCGAATATTAAAATTTAGAAGTATTTATTTTTTTTATAATAAAATTTGACATTATATAATAAAATGGATTTTGCAAGCTTAAAATATTGTTTTTTTTTTTAAATTTCTGAAATAAGAATCATGATTAAAAATAATATTAAATGAGTTTAAATGAGTTTTATTTTATAAAATATTCAATTAAAATTGTGTATGTAAAACATCGATTTTATTACTTTTTAAAATCACAGGTGTAGATCGAATTGTTGTGTCATTTGGTTTCTCTGGTTGATTACCAAATATGAATAAATCTTGATCATCTAAATCATTTTCTTCATCTTCATCTGTATGAAATGATCGATTACGTGTCTCTGGTAAAGTATAAATTGCAACAATTTGAAATATTGTTAAAATTGAATAAATAAAAAATGTTATTTTGGCATATTCATCACCAAGTGCAACATCAACAATTGGTGCAAGAATAGCACCTATACGTCCAGTAAATACAAATATACCAGTAGCAACACCACGTATTGATGTTGGAAATATTTCTGGAACATAAATCCATGTTATTAATACTGCAGCACTTATAGTTAATTTTCCTATTTGTGATATTATAATTGTTATTATTGGATGAGATTTCATAATAAATGGAATAATTAATACACAAATACATGTGAATATTGTAAAGACTATAAATGAATATTTACGTCCTAATTTTGTTGTTATTAAAATACTTGCAGATATATAACCAATACCTTCAACAATAGCACCAATAATTATATTCGAATATGGACTTACAACATCACTCATAGCACCAAGGCCATATGATATTTTAATATATAAAAGCATTGTAACACAACCAATAAATGCACATAGTGATAATCTTGGTAAAAAATAAAGAATAAGTTCTTTATTTGTTCGTGATGCATGTTTTCTACTTAATAGACATAAACGTGGATTATAAATTAATTGTTTATAATATAAATACCATTCATCATCTGTACGTCCATTTGTTTTAGCTATTTTTCTTAAACATACTTCTAATTGATTATATTTCTTTTGACTAAATAACCAATATGGTGATTCAGGTACAAAATAAAGATATGGTAAAATAAGTCCAAAATAAGCCGTTATTATCCATTTAAGACGTAACCAATCACGTGCAATATAAGCAAATAATGTAATGAAAATTTCACCAATAGTAAAACCTATAACAGCAGAATTACCTGCAAGACTTGTATGAGAAGAAGATGTTAATTCCATGAGAAGAAGAAATACCATTGGATAAGCATCAATACTTGAAAATAATTGATTGATTGAAAGAAGTATAAGCCTAAAAAACAAAAAAAAATTAAAATTTAAAATTTTATTCTATGAATAACATATTATATAATGAAATGCTTTTGTTCATAAACTAATAAAAGATAGAACTAGCTAGAATACAACAGAAAAACAAGATTATTCGTGTGAAATACAAAAATTTATCTTCGTTTCATTAATTCTTTTCAAAAGAGTTAGAACATATGTCTTTGTCTTTTCGCCTCTAAGTATTTCTCTTTTAATTATAATTGTTTGAGTTTTTTGTTTGTTGCTAATGTGTAAATAATATTACAGCAAATGATAAAATCAATCTTTCTTTTAGCTTACGAGGAAAGGTCTCCAACTGTTTTATCACTTTTGACTCAAAATTAGAGATGTGCGGGACCTAGATTTTTTGGATGTGGATGATACTGTCAGGAAGACCAACACCAACACCAAAACACTTAAATACTGATCAGAGAAGTTGTTCAACTGTTCAATCACTATTGATTCAAGACTATGAACATTATGTAGAACTAAATAAACTATGAATACTCGGAAAAGAGTTCGTGCCATCAGGTTATTACTACAGAGATACTGAACTTTGATAATATTTTTTAAATAAATGTCGTGGTAACAGAAAAACTGATTTTTGAATTTTGACTTGAAACTTTGCATGTAGGCAAGCCTTAGCGAGAATAGTTTATATAGTGAAAGTTTCAAATTTTTTGATGTGCTTCTAAATAAGAACATCGAATCTGCTGGTCTATATGAGTGATGTAAAAAGACACGCTATTACCATAGTTGTATCTTAGGATAGAAACAGCGACGAGACCTGAAACATTCACAGAAAAAGTATTCTCATTAATATCTACCTCTTCGCAAAGTTTCAAGTCGAAATTGGAAAATCAGTTTTTAGGGGACTATGACATTCTGCTGAAAAATACAGTATCTCAACAGTAATAAGCTGTTAGTTCGAACTTTTTTCAGGGTATTCATAGCTCATTTAGGTCTACATAATGTACACAGCTTTGACTAAAAAGCGATTGAATAGTTGAAGGACTTCCCTTCGTGAACACTGAGCTTTTGAAATTAGTTACTATGCTAAAACTAATTTTTTAATGAGTAAAAACCTACTGAACGTATAATAAAAATCATACCGTGCATTCATTATAAAATACTGAACAATTCAATACAAACCATAAAACAAAATTCTTCAATACTCGTTTTTTTTTGGGGGTAATCCCTCTTGAATTATGTTCTGATTGATATGATTTATAAGATAATTCCCTCAAGATCATAGAATATTTAACTATAATCTATCGTTCTGATTGGGGCAACTTTTGTTCTTGTAATCGTGAACCTGGTCTCAGAACTAAAGTTATTATCATACATCTGTAGTCGAGACTATGTGCAGCATTTAGAATTTAATGAGGTAAGAATAAAAATTCTCACTCTTAGTTTATTACACTCAACATACTACATTTTTATCATATTTATTAATACGATTTCATGATTTCTTGCACGAATATGAGAAAAACTGATTTTTGAATTTCGAATTGAAACTTTTCATAGAGACCAGTTTTTGACAAGAATAGTTGATTGTGAAAGTTTTAAATCTTTCCTATCCTAAGATATGACTCTGATGAAAATGTTTTCTTTCATTTCGCTCATATACATCGGCAGTTTTGATGATCGTATCTCAGATGCGGAATAAATCAAGGTAATCCTGAAACTTTTATAACGGGCTATTCTCATTATAACTAATCTCTGTGATAATTTTTATGTTAAAATTCGAAAATCAGTTTTCCTAGTCAACATAATTCCGACTTACATTCGTGAAAAAAAAAATCTTTTCTTATATTTTGTATACAGTTTGATTTTATAAAATAAATCTCAAGAAAATTTCTTTCTAATTCAATATAAGACGTTCCAAATTCTTAATTAGCTATTGAATATTATAGAATTTTCTTTCTTTCTTTTGATCATAATAACTATTTTTAAATCTAGTAACTAACAATGACAATATAGATTTGTCAATGCTTAACGTATTACATGATAACAAGAGTATCATATTGGATTAGTATTCAAGGATTTACATCCTTTCAAAAAAAAAAGATGATGTCGAAAAAATAAATATCAATTTCTAAAAAATATTCTAACTGTGTATTTAGTTAAAAAAAGAATTCTACTAATTTACTTCATATCTATATTCATTGAAATAGTTTGAAGAAGTATTTGAGTAAAAAATGGAACTGCAAATAACATAATAGTTAATATTCGAATCATTTTTCTTCGTCCAACTTTATCACCAATATATCCAGTAAGTAAAGCAACAAATCTATATATTATATGAAATTATTATTTAATATAAATTTTTCTGTTGTTGTTATTATTTTTTTTTATTGTCTTACCCTCCAACTTGATACATTGTTGAAAGCCAAGTTTTTTTCAAAGCATTTTCACAAATAAAATTTCCTTCTTCAGTAAATGTTCGACCAAATATACTTCGATCATACACAAAATCTTTACAAATTGAACCATTTAAATCATTACATTTTGATAATTGTTGTTTTTGATTACTAAAATTTTGATATAACAAATTTATTGATTGATATTCATCTTTATCTAAATCTATATTTAATGGTAATCGACAACGATAAGCAGGTTCGGCAACACCAAATACATAATAAAATGTTGTTATACCACTACCAAGTGTTATTAGATTTAAAAAAATATAATGTATTATTTGGTGACGACCTAAATCACCACATTTACGAAGGACATTTTCTAACGATATATCACTAGACATCGATTAAAATGTAATAAATGTTTTGTTTTTACTTACACAATTGTAATCAATAGGATGATTTTATCTTTTAGATAAGCTATTTGATTCTTTTGTAAAGAACGACGTAAGCAAAAAAAAAAGGCCGATAAATCTTACAGAACAATCTACGCGTTTGAATAACCTTTTTGTATTATCATACAATTAATACAATATCTGGCAATGAAGATGTTATTTACGTTATAAATTGAGAATACTAATGTGGCGAGTTTGTTTTGTCATTGCCTTTTATACTCGTGACAAAAATGTACTTTTCCTCCATTTGTACACGTGAGGTTCCCATTTCTCTCTTCTTCTTCTTCGCCGTCTCGTTGTTTGTATAATATGTACTGGATTACTGATTAAGATAAATTGCACATACCATCAAATGAATCATCTATTACATTTGAGATGTAAGTGAGGCATCACATATAGAAATATGTCGTATTCTGATCAAATGATACTAATTTTTTTGTTGATTAAAAAAAATAAATGTTTGTATAAGAGATTCGTTTACATATTGACAATATTTTGATTGATTCTAATTAGGATAAAAATAAAAAATTCTACAAGGTTATTTTCTAACGTTGTTTGAGATAAGACTTTTCATTAGAAGACAATATTTGAATCTGATTGTCGTTATTCACTGAAAAGAGTATATATGATTGCCATTTTATCTATTGATTTTTTTTAAACTAACTACATTCAAATATTGTTGATAGATCTCACAATGGAAGTTCTTCACCTAATTAATCACTTTTGAGTCGGAAGCATATGCATTGTGTAGACCGAAAAAGAATTCGGATCTATAAATTATTGATACTGATAAAGTACAGTCTTACAGTATTTTTCAATACAATGAGATACTTCGACTTGAAATTTTGCATAGAAACAAGAATAACTAATCATGAAAGTATCAAACCATTTGATCTGTTTCTGTCCTAGAGTAAGAACATCGAATCTGTGTGTGTGTCTATGAGATATATAGAAAAATGTGCTTTTACTATGGCTATATCTTGAAATAGGAGTAACGAAAATATTTGAAACTTTTACAATAAACTATTTTCATTAAGTTCATATTTTACTCATAATCAATTACAAAAAATTAGAATCTTTTCTTTATGATTTTTCTTTTTCTTTTTTTCTTAATTATCGAATCGATGAAATTCTTTCTTGTCAAAATTTATTATATGTATGCAAATATAGTCAGAAAAAGAAAAAGCGAAAGAAAAAAAGAACCAAGAAGAACCAACAACAACAACAATATTATGATAAAAATCCACAGACACTACATCTAATATGTATCTGACATTAAACAGAAAAAAAAAATTCGACAAAACCAACAAACAATGATGACGACTATACAATGAAAATGAATAGAAAAATAGAAAACATGGGCCCTGTTCAAATACTGTGTTTTTATCAGTATATATATATATATGTATATATTAAAACAAAACATTCTGTATATATATATATATATATATATATATATATATATATTTATCCTCATGATTCTTTCTCTCCATTGCCTGAATAAAGTTTAGCAATATATTGAAATTTAGGTCCCATATTTTTTAAATATTCAAGTTCAAGTTCTTTATCAATATCATTTTGATCTTTTGATGTTATAGTTAATGTTGATAATGTACATTCATCATTTCTAGCTAATGGTTCACCTTCATATGCATATTCTTGTAAACTATCATATGGTGGTTGTGATGGATCATCATCAATATCACGTATACGACCTTTTATAAATTCTCCAACATTAATACCATTATTTAAATTATTTGTTGAATTTTTATTCATAACAGGTTTTACTATTGGTATTGGTGGCATATCTTTTCGTGTTGTTGTTGCTGTTTGTTTTTTTAATGAATCTATTTGATTATTACCATCTGTATGTGTTTTTAGAAGAGGTTTTATTTCTGATTCAGAATTTAGTCGTCCATTACGATTTATATTTGTATTACCATTACCAGTAAAAACAGGTTTTTTTAATGTTGATATATCGTATGTAACTGGATCTTCATCTGGACAACCTTCTTCGTCATAATTAATAATATTATCTCGTATTTCATCATCCATACCAAGTATATAAGCTTTTTTTGTTTGTCTTCGTCGTGTTAATAAAATTAATAATAAAACAAGAAATAATATAGATAAAAGACTTAATATAATTGCACCTATTATATGCCAATGAAATGTTCCAGCTAATGGCATAGCTTTTATTATACAACGTTCACCTTGCCAATGTAATTTACATTCACATTTTATTGTATTTTCGCGTGCTTCATATAAACAATTTTTTGTACCTGGCATATGACATGGATTTGTTATATCTGTACACCAATCATATAAAATACATGTTTCATTTGTTGGATTATATTTATATGTATCTGTACATTGACATTGTCCATGTCTCCATGTATTAACACAAAATGCTGGTGAACGACATTGTACACCACGACACCAATTATCAAGATTATCACAACCTTCTTTTATATTTGATTGAAATGTCCATTTCATATCTGATGATGATGAACCATTTAATAAATCAAGAAGTTGACCATTAAAACGAACATCCATTATACAACCATCATTAAAATCTGCTGTTACAATTTTATGTACAGCCTAGGAAAAAATAAATAAATAAAAATTTATCAATATGATTTTATGAAGGGATGGAAATGTAGAACTCATAAATATATGATATATTGTTAGAGAAATCAAAAATAATAACATTCAAAAAAAACGCATGAAATAGAAGATATTAGAAAAACTAAAACTTGTATAATGAAAATTTTTTTACATGACGATTTTTCTATTACTCATTACATAAAAATCATCTCAATTGAATATCTAAAAATGTTTGCTTGTAAACACTATTATCATTAACGCATCTTTTCCTGTAATCTAGGGCATATGAAGGAAAATGAAACCATAAAAAAGTTCTATGAATAAACTTACGGAATCTATTCGTGCACCAACATTTAATAAAGTATTTGGAAAATGTTTCCATATTGATTTACCATAACTTATATTTGTTCGATAATATTCACCATCATCAAGACGTAAAATTAATCGTTGTCCATAACGATCAAGATAAGCTGTATGCCAACGTCCATCATTAACTAAAATATATTTTAATTCAATTAATTGTGTATCAGATTTTGAACCAAAACGTGCTTGTAAATGTCCAGATTTAATTTCCAAAAACATAAATGTATCATCATTATGAAAATCAATTAATGTTAATATATTATCAGATATTTCACGTGTACGAAACATAATTTGAAATTTTAATATTTGTGATAAATATGATAAATCATTATCAGGTTTATGTTGATGACGAAATGTTGCATATGATGCACGATCACCTGTCCATGTTTGTTTATCATATGTAAAATCATATGATACGGTTTCTTGTGAACATGTTGAACCTGTTCGACCTGGTTTACATAAACATTGTACTTGATAAAGATCAGCATCACAAATACCATTATTTGATTGACAAGATAATTTTTGACATTTTAAATCTGTTAAAAGACAACCTTCATGAAGATTAATTGATTGATCACTGTGTAAATCAACATGAAGATCATATAATTCATCAGCAAAACGAAGATTACGAATGCAACCTAAGATTTTAGAAAAAAAAAAAAAAGATAAAAATATCTTTGAAATATATAACATAATAATATAATTATATCAGAACTTTTAAAAATAGATAGTTTGATGATTCAAACTTTTACGTAAGCGAAAGTCACATGCTTTTAGCGTATAAGTCTTATTTTTTTCTTTGATTTTTACAGCTAATAAACAATATGAAATAACTAAAGAACAAGAAAAGAAAACTATAAAATCAAATTTTTTTTACCTTTAAAATTTCCCATATATTCCATTGGTAATTGTTGTTGATTAAATTCTTTATCTTCTAAAGCAATACCACCTAATTGTAATGGTCGATTTGTACTAAAAACATCATCTTCATTAAATTCAATCATAAAACGACATTCACCATATTGTTTTGATACACTATTTAATGGACAATAATCAATTAAAATTTCCAAAATATGTTCAATTGTACTAATTTGTCGTATTTCAATAATATGCCATTTACCATCAGCTAAATTTGTACTTGTTTTTAAATGTCTACGTATATTTTTTCCATAACCAAAATTTAAATCAATTAAAAGATGACCATTTAATAATTGTAATGAAAAATAATCTTCCATTGGAATTTTTTTATTTAATGGTCCATTATATAATATTGAACCATTATATGTTTGAGTTAAAAATTCAATTGATAACATCCATGTATCACATGTTGTTAATGGTTTATACCATGCATAACCATTACCTAATCAATAGAAAAGATTATATTTGAAAAAAAAAACAAACAAAACTTTTAGCACAATCTCTACGAGATTACTATGATATGTATTCGGAAAGTTTCAACTTTCTAGTTCGTTTCCTTCTTGAGTTATAGTATTTTCTATTTTGAAGAAAAATCCTTTTGTATCAACGACAAAATGATATGAGAATCATATTTTTAATCTAAAATATAGATTTAATATGAAGATACAAAGTGTTGATATACTTCCTGAGTCTTTTTAATACATGTTTGAATAATATTTAATGATCGATTATTGTATATTTACTTTTGTTTATTTTGTGTTTTGTCCCTATTTTGTTGTTCGATAATTTTATTCAAAATGTATACAATAAGTAAAAAAACAAAGCATTCATACATCATCAGTGAGTGAAAAAGTCTCTATAAATGTCTCATAAGTAGTATGATTCCTAAACTGTCACATGAATACAATATACCGCACTATTAATTATTATTGTTCTCATAGTGATGTAAATTCTGGACATAGGCCTGACTGTTCACCTGCACTCGACTCATCTCAAATCAAACCCTACAACAAAATCGATAGGCTACTGTTGATGAATTGCTATCATTTACACACTTCAAC